AACGCGGGATGACGTAGACACGGTCTAACGCGGGATGATGTGGACCAGGTCTAACGCGGGATGATGGGGACACGGTCTAACGCGGATAACGTAGGCACGGTCTAACGCGGGATGATGTGGACACGATCTAACGGGGGATGACGTGGACACGATCTAACGCGGGATGACGTGGGCACGATCTAACGCGGTATGACGTGGACCAGGTCTAACACGGGATGCCGTGGACACGATCTAACACGGGAAGCCGTGGACACGGTCTAACACGGGATGATGTGGACACAATCTAACGCGGGATGACATGGGCACGATCTAACGCGGTATGACGTGGACCAGGTCTAACACGGGATGACGTGGACACGATCTAACGCGGGATGACTTGGACACGATCTAACACGAGATGACGTGGACATGGTCTAACATGGAATGACGTGGGCACGATCTAACGCGGGATGACATGGGCACGATCTAAAGCGGTATGACGTGGACCAGGTCTAACGCGGGATGACTTGGACACGATCTAACACGGGACGACGTGGACACGGTCTAACGCGGTATGACGTGGACCAGGTCACACAAGATCACGTGGACACGATCTAACGCGGGATGACTTGGACACGATCTAACACGGGATGACGTGGACACGATCTAACACCGGATGACGTGGACACGGTCGCACGCGGAGGTGGCGTGGACATGTTCTATTCGAGGATAATGTTGATACTTCGATTCGTCTCGGTCTAACGAGGAAATAGCGCTGTTTATGATATATATTTGGGTTCTCAAAAATAAAAAATAGAATGCTCAGAAGAGCAAAAACTGTTTTATATTCAGCATCAGCTCTCTGTTCCACGCCGAGTGATGTTTTCCCTGTCGTTCTAATATCATGCTCTAATCGGAGACTAAAAGAAGTGGGAAACTGGGGTACCTATAATAAGTCGGTCACCGTGTGACCACGATAACCCCACGAGTGTAAACAATTGGTCTACTCTCAAAGCTACCTGTCACACAGACATAAAGGTTGACCTATTATATACCTATATCTCAGTTTACATTGACCGACATCAACTGGGATCGTCGTCGTAACATTTGTATAGCCGATAACGATCTGTACAGTTCACCATGGAACCACACAGGTTGTATTGAATTGTGTGATTGTGGGGTGGGACGTATACATTGACAGTGGTTCCTCACAGACGTCAGAGATCAAGAATTACTTCTCATCATATTAATTACCGAAATATATTACGTTATGCCATATTAGTTATTTATACGTAAGCGTTCAACTTACCAGATACAAATATATATTAATTTCAACCATTTAGCAGACCCTGCAATGCTCATTCTCAAATTCTATTTTAAATTGGATATCGTCCATTTCGATGATGTTCCATACTTAGTAACTGTTTGAAATGTCCACGGGGGAGATTGCGCGTGCTCAGAATTAAATGCATCTATATATATTTTTGTATGAACACCCTAGGGGAAATAAATGCCATCTTTTGAGATGTACTTTCACTAGCAAATTAACTGGTTAAAAGTGCTCATTGTTAGGGTCCTAAATCGGGGGTCTCTCTCCAAAATAGGGAGAGTTGGCAAGTTTGCGTTTGAAAAACCAAGATTGTTGACAAATTAATTACATCAGTTTTCTGAGCGACCTGCTTCTTCTTCAAGGCAAGAAAACTATAGTCATCTGTGAACTATTCGTCCTCTTTAAACATTCATTTAAAACATCTGCTTGGTATTCAGATTATACCTCTGGGCACATGTCAGTGTAGATTATTTAGTGGGTTATCACTAAAAAAAATCAGTAAAGACTGAAGCAACATTAGTTTCAATAGTTTGTGCATTGGTTATAGTTGACATTGTTCTTACTGTAATACATAGTTACCAAAATGTCCCCATCCTTCTTTGATTTGAGCGAAAATGCTAAACCCACAAAGAAGATCCTACACTGACCTGTACCCAGAGGAATTACCATTACAACATAGGAAAACCGGAAATCGTGACAAATCTTACCTAGTTGATTTCCCTAGATAAGAGTTAAGCCACAGCCACATGTTTCCCAAGCACACCAGTAGTATTTTGTAGCTGCTTGACACCTTTTTATTATCTATATAGTACCTGTGTGGTTAGTAACTGTATGTACCTACACCTACTTGGTGTTTGTATATAAATATTGTCTGTTTGTAGGCACATGACATTAATGTTTGTAAATTGATATACTAAAAGTGTATCAACATACATGTGCTTTATGATATCTGTATGTAGGTACACCCAATTAGTGCATCTACACTGTATATGAACATACATCTTATAGGCGATTGTATGTTCCTACAAGTATTTAGTTTGTATGTAATACATGTACAAGGATAGTGTATCTGTATGTACGTACATGTAATTAGTATATGTAAGTGTCTTATGTACATACATATAATAAGTATATCTGTATGTAAATGTAATTCATGTATGTACACATGTACATACTTGTATTTAGTGTGTCTGAAAGTATGTACTTGTAATTTGTGTCCAGAAGTATATTAACATAATGAGTCTGTATGTACATACATATAATAAGTATATATGTATGTAAATGTAATTCGTGTATGTACATACTTGTATTTTGTGTGTCTGAAAGTATGTACTTGTAATTGGTGTCCAGAAGTATATTAACATAATGTGTCTGTATGTACATACATATAATAAGTATATATTTATGTACATGTAGTTAGTGTATCTGTATGTATGTTCATTTAATTAGTCTGTATGTACCTTCGTGTACTTTGTGTGTATGTATGTACCTTCATGTCAAAAGTATGTATGTACCTTCATTTAATAAGTGTGTATGTTTGTACCTTCACGTTATTAGTGTGTCTGTTGTACCTTGAGGTAATTAGTGTGTGTGTTGTACCTTGAGGTAATTAGTGTGCAAGTATGTAACTACATGTAATAAGTGTATTTTCATGTATCTGCATGTCATAAGTGTGTGTGTGCATGTACCTACATTTATTGAGTGTCTATGCACCTACATGTAATTAGTATGTCTGCATGCACTTACATGTAATTTGCATATGTGTACCTACATGTAATTAGTGTATGTACCTACATGTAATTAGTGTGTATGCATGTAATTAGTGTCTGCATGTACCTGTTATTAGTCTGTCTTTATGTACCTGTAATTAGCCTTTCTGTATGAAACTGTAATTAGTGTGTTTGTAAAGAGTGCATGTGATCAACGGATTTGAATTCGATTATTTTCTAGGGTGGTTTGCATCTTCTTTTTGAAGAAGTCTGCCGTAAGACATGAATCGCTATGTTGTTTTATTATCCACCTTTGCTGTCATACAAAGTTACAAACCCTGAAATGTTCACTACTGCTGACCACTGGGAGTGAACTCTTCTATAACCAAAGTGTCCTGATATGGATTTCTGAACAATGGTTTTAAAATTTAAGCTCTCTGATCAAAACAAAAGAGCCTCTAGTGGTGGGAGCATCAAGTGTTTGCTCTTTCTGCCCATACAACATTTGTGTTACACTCCATTTCTCCAATAATAGAAGTCCTGTAATAATCCAAGTTCATATGCAGATACATCTCGACCCCTTTATCACTGTAGACCACAATGGACCTATTGGTAGAGTTTACTAAAGGTACATAGGGGTGAAAGGGTTAAGGATCACTACACAATTATATGAAATATTGGTCACTGCAACAAATGTCTTTCTACCTAACTGACTTGGTTAGACTTTGTATTTGGCTCTCTATTTATCACAGTGGGAGTGGGGGCATCAGGACATGTATTTTTTACTGACAATAATTAGTCTATTATGTACTGGTCCCTGTTGCTCATAGTCTGATTATTTTAAGGATAAATTATTTGAGAAAAATATCTGAAAATCAAAACATATTTCTGTGTTTCTTGTCCTCAGGTTATTCTTAGGATACCTATACCTGTACATTCAATTTTAGTTAAAATCTAATATTTTTTATCATACACTAGTTGAAAGTTTAGTGATAAATGTTCCAGGCTGGGCCCTGGAATCACTAGTTTCTATACATCCCTTTCATTTAATGTGTAACAAAGCATCCATATATGATGATTATATGTTGTGTGACTACATATTACTGACAGTGAAATCAACTTCATTCAGGAACAATTCAGAAAAATAATCAATGATAATAACAGATTTTAATTATATTTATTTGGAATCATAACCATACTATAAACAATATGATCACAAATTAACAACTCTGATCCATAACAGGACCATGTTTGTTGTAATCAGTATGTTATAGCCACAGGAATATTAGCTATATAGTTCTCATTAAAGACAAACATTGACTTGACTAAGAATGTTGTCATATTTCAGAAGTGACTGGCAATTGGTGTAAAATCATAACCATGGTCGGTTTGTTAAATAAAGAAATAAGAAACTAATCAATGATTGACTACATCATCATTTTATAGTTTTATGGCACTGAATACCTACATAAAGTGACAACATTATTGTAGCATCTGGTTGGTTGTTACTATACATTGCATTTCCTTCTTCCACAGCTTACTTTATGCAGTTTTCATTGGGTTTTTTTCAACTGAGCACTGACATCAATCATATAATAAAATTTGATAAAGCATACAGTTCATTACATATTTATCATTTTAGTTCAGTAGCGTAACTTGGTAACGTAATCAATATTGGAAAGGGCCAACCGATCAAATTTAAATTACAATTGATTATCTGCCCATCACTATCTTTCAGGTAGCCTCAATGCTACAGTTTCACGGGGAAACTCTGCTACTGAATCTTAAGCCAAAGAAATTTGAGTTGTTTGATTCTTGTACTTATAAATGGTCAGAATAATAAGAATAACAGTTGTCAGGGTTGAAGGCATTGTGCACATCCTTGAGAGAAACACACAATGTTTTCAACACTGACAATTCATGGCATAGTAACCGCAAAAAATAGTAGAACCAACATTGTTGAATGTGCTGGTTTAATCAAGTACTAGTGAAACCTAAAACATTTATGCTTTTACGTAATTCCACAGCTTGACCTCCCCATTGTCACTACAGGAAGCTAGTAATTGTGGGTCCTTAGGGTTCCATGATATAGCATTCACATCTTGATTATGGGCCTTATTTACTGTCACTTCCAGGCGGAAATCTGGCTGATTTTTGTCTGAACTTGGCTCCTCTACAAAAACACGTATGGCATCATCTGCCGATGCTGTAGCTAAGCGACCAGTCAGGTGACACCAGTCTATATCATAGATGACACGGTTGTGATACCCTGATAAGGTACACACACACTTCCATGTAGAGTCAGGACCAGTTGTAGCCACACCCTCAGAATTACCCGGTGGGTACTCCTGCCATATCTTAACTGTTTGGTCATCACTACAGGATGCAAGCCTTGATCCAGACTGATCAAAACATATTCTCCATACAGTGGAATCATGGGACTCTAAAGTAGTGAAGCAGGTCCAGTCATCTGTGTCCTCCTTGAAGAGTTTGATGGTGTTGTCATAGCTACAAGAGGCAAGGATCTCCTTGTTAGGGTGCCATGTGACACATTTGACATCCTGGGTATGGGAACTCAAGACACTGGCACACTCATACTCTTCATCTTCTGTCACTGTCAATATATAACACAAGTGTCAATATCTAGTTACTATAAATCAATATATAACATAGTGTCATCAACTAGTGATAATTATGTGACTCTGTCAATATATAGCACAGTGTCATTACACTTACTCTTTCACTGACAATACATGATTTAAGTTAACAGTGTTATTTTGACTGGTGAACATTCATAAATATGCTCCAGGCTAAGTTGCTTGATAATGATGGAAATTCGAACAAAGCAGGGACTCCTAAAATGTCTTTACACTCCTTACTCTTTTGAAGAGATTGAATATATTATATTGTTATAACGGATACAGAAAACTTCTTGTGATTATCGTAATACATTTATACCTTCCCATATCCAAACACTTTTGTCACGGCTACATGTTGCCAGGAGACTTCCCCCTGGAGACCATGCCCCACACTTGACCTCATTTTCATGACCTTCAAGAGAAGCTATACACTCAAAGTTTCCCTCCTTGCGGCTCCAGATCCCTGTGGTAGCATCAAAGCTTGCAGTGGACAGATAGTTCCCACATGGTGACCATGCCACAGATCTGACTGTTCTCTGGTGGCCGTCTTCTAGTACTGTTTTACAAACCCACTTGTCTCCCTCCTGGCCCCAAATACGGACAGACTTGTCACCTCCACATGAGGCGAGCAGAGTCCCAGAGGGGTTCCACTTCACACACCACACTCGGTCCTGGTGGCCCTCCAAGACTGACAGACACTCTAGTCTGGACTGTAACAGACAAAAACACTATCATGGAGAAGGTTCAGTGTTATTTGAGTTAAAATCGACTTGGTTGATCCAACTTGTTCGTCAGCAACCATGAAGGTCAATTGGTAAAGCGTCAATCTAGAGTTTGGAGAGTCCCCAGGGTTCAGCCCCCAGTCTGGCCATGCATTTTTACAATTCCTGTTTCAGTGGTGCAGTACCTACAGTAGAAGTGTGACAGATTTTAATTATATCTAAATACGGTCACCTCATAGCTTTGAGCTAGAAGGAATTTGGTAACCCTTTAGCTCAGTGGTAGAGCTTCCGACTAGGAACCTAGGGATCCCAGGTTCGATCCCTGGTGGAAGCACATGTACTTTACTTTACGGGGGCTTCATCAATGTTGATGTTTATGCTCTATAACGCTAATGTAGAAAGTCAGGGCGAACGGGAATTAGGGCGAAACAAACCTAATTAGCGCGAACGGGATTTAGGGCGAAACATGTCAAAATAGGAAACGTCGTAAACGCTTTGACAACAAACTAAACATTTTTTGAATTGTACAACTGAATTATAATTGCATAGACACAGAAAATTATTTACAATAGCTACCATTATGTTTGCAAAAATGAAACTTTCGTCGAGATGCGTTTTCCAACCTCTATGGGATCATAACAGTGCGAGGGTAGCTCTAAAACATGGGCGCTGACATCTTGAATATAGTTCGCAACAAAATTCACATCCTTCCGCAATGATATAATGTATTGTGGAACTACATAAGTGTCTAATATATAAGATAATAAAAGATGCAATATCATGTAAACCGATTTAAGTCTTCAATAACAAAACAAAATTGATTTATAAGATTTTTAATGAAGAACTACATAACTCGGACGTATGCATTATTAAAGCTGTTGTTAGGCATTTCCTGTTTTGATTTCTTCCAAAACGGGACATAGGTGAAGTTTTGTTGTACAATTAGTCACTCAAGCTTCTGTAGAACCCCAAAAACTTGGTAATGGCAGGAAAGGCTAAGAAGTATGTGGATGAGAACAGGGAATCTAAAAATCCTGAACTGGAGCTCGTGGACAAGTCCATTGTAAACCTGTTGGAAGTGCCAGGGCTGTGTAAGTGTTGTCAGTTGAAGATTCAGCAACCCCCTCCCATCTTCATCTTCATCTTTATGCCTTCCTCCGTCGATATCGACGATTACGGGAGTCGGTCTTGTGCTGTAGTGTATTATGTACAATGATTTTTTTTGCATTGGTGGTAGCAGGTCCATTCATCCCCATTACATGTTCTCCCTATACTTGACATTTATTTGTTATAAGTACATTGTAGTAGGAAACACATTTAGTCTGTTAACATGAAAATAATAAGCAGAAACATATACTTTATTACTTCTTCTTTGTTTTACGGTGGGGGGGGGCTCCATCAATGTGATGTTTATGCATCTGTAACTGAAACTGACAATTTGTACTTGAACTAGTTGTTATTAACTTTTCAAAAGCATTTGACACGGTGTGTCAGAGCGTCCTTATCAACTAATTAGACAATTATAAAACCAGAGGGATCAGCACTGCCTGGATCAAGGCATTCGTCACACACACAGATAGGCCAGTTTGAATACATTGTACACAGACGGTTGTGAAAGGACGTACAGATGTGTGATACATTTGGTCTAAAAGTCAATGCTTGGCTCTCCAAGTTGCTTTATAACTAAGGAGGCAGTACCCAAATTGGATCAGTACCCAAATAGGATCACTTTTTGCAAAAGTAAATAAATGTGTCAATAAATCAGTTATAACAATGATGTAGTCTTAGAATAGATAGCCATGCACCATTTTTTGTCTAAAGATGATTAGTTTTTAAGTTCAAATAGCACAAGAAAACTCTATATATATAGTGTTTTGATCGCGTTTTAATAAAATGGCGCGTGCGACGACTATGCATTCTGTCTTGGACTATAGGAATAAATTCACACTATAGAAATACTTTTTGTCATATAAAGTCTAAAGGTCATCATTAAATGTTAATATGCTGACATTTTTTTTTTATTCATTTGAAGAGTAAGATACTGCTAAACTCGAACCTTGATTTGATTTGGTTCCTGACATTCGCAAAAGTGGGAGACGCTGATTGGTGACTTCAGAACATTCTATGAATATCTCAAGTGAGCCCCGGGTGCTAATTTCGTTTGTTAGAACACCAATCGATATTCTTCCTTTGATACAACCATAAATGAATATAATTCCTCATCAGATTTTTCGATGCTTTAATAAAAATGATGGTTTGGTGATCTGATTTGTGTACTGTCACCTTAGTATCATCGATATGGTGAAATTACAAAGTAATTGTCAATGTGTATTTACATTGTACAGAACTGTAGGGCAAGCAGGCAAAAAGGGCATACTCACCCATTGTAGGCTATATATATATATATATATTGTAGAGTTAAAAAAACCTAACTATAGATGCAAAGAAGAATGACACCATTTAAAGAGTGGCTTATATAATTAACTAGCCCCAAACTCACCTTTCCTTAAAAATGAAATGTTTCGGCTAAATGTGAAATGCGTTATCAAATTCCAAATGAGTAATCACTATGCCATAATTCCGACTTGCAACTGTTTTTAAATGAAGTTGAGAATGGAGCTAGTTGAGCCACCTATTAACTTTTTTCATGAAAAATGATCAGGAAAATAATTCATTGCATTCTATCCAATGCTATTGAAGTCATGTGAAGGAATTTTACCTTAAGAATTGAAGGAAGTGGGATTTGATGGCAGAGAATAAAGTAAAGTGAGTAGTAATTAGTGGATATGTTATTGGTGTAATGGCCATCGGAGAGGAAAGTGGAAAAGAGAGTTATTTTTCTGTCAGAGAAAACATTAATAATAAACAAAAAGCTGTACAACACCTGTACCATGTTTATCAACTGTGCAAAGAAACCAAAAATAAAAATAGCATTAACTCTTTATATAGTATATCATTCATCCAAAAGTAGTTTGACCATATAATTATGTTAGTTTTGCATTGCATTTATTTACACGAATTTTCTGTATGATCATTGATTAATTTGCCTTATTTTGTTTCCAGTTGACTTGCAGCACATAACCAGACTTACACTGACGCATAATAAAATAGCAGGTAATACATGAATATAGTATCACAATTCTGTAAAAGAAAAAGATTTTTTAGCTCACCTGGCACAAAGTGCCAAGTGAGCTTATGCCGTGGTGTGGCGTCTGGCGTCCGTCCGGCGTCAATATTTTACTTTAAATGACTTCTTCTTAAGAACCGAAAGGCCTAGGGTGTCGATATTTGGCCAGAAGCAAACTGGGATGAAGGGCTACAAAGTTTGTTAAAATTATTGACCTTCACCCATTTTCAAGGTCACAGGGGTCAAATATGTTTAAAACTTTAAACATCTTCTTCTCGATAACCAAACTTCCCAGGGAGATGATATTTGGCCAGTAGCATGCTTGGGTGAAGGGCTACCAAGTTTGTTCAAATGAATGACCTTCAATTATATTCAAGGTCACAGGGGTCAATTGTCTTAAAAAAACTTTAAACAACTTCTTCTGAATAACCAAAATGCACAGGGTGATGATATTTGGCCAGTAGCTTGCTGAGATGAAGGGCTACAAAGTTTGTTCAAATGAATGACCTTCACCCATATTCAAGGTCACAGGGGTCAAATATGTTAAAAACTTTAAACAACTTCTGAATAACCAAAATGCCCAGGGTGATGATATTTGGCCAGTAACATGCTGAGATAAAGGGCTATCAAGTTTGTTCGAATGAATGACCTTCACTTTTATTCAAGGTCACAGGGGTCAAATATATTAAAAACATTAAACAACTTCTCCTGAATAACCAAAATGCACAGGGTGATGATATTTGGCCAGTAGCATGCTGGAGTAAAGGGCTATCAAGTTTTTTTTGAATGACCATCACCTATATTCAAGGTCACAGGGGTCAAATATGTGAAAAACATTAAATAACTTCTTCTGAATAACCAAAATGCACAGGGTGATGATATGTGGCCAGTAGCATGCTGAGATGAAGGGCTACAAAGTTTGTTTAAATGTATGACCTTGAATCATATTCAAGGTCACAAGGAGCAAATATGTTCAAAATATTTAAACAACTTGTTCGGAATAACCAAAAGGCTTAGGATGTTGATATTAAGTCAGATCAAGGACTACTATGTTTGTTAAAGTGAATGACTCTGAATTATATTCAAGGTCACAGGGGTCAAATTTGTTTAAAATCTTTAAACGACCTCTTCTGAATAATCATGGGTCACATGGATGTTGATACTTTGCAAGTTGCATACTGAGATGAAAGGCTATACAATTTGTTCAACATAATGACTTGGTTGACTTTCAAAGTAACAGGGGTGAAATGTTTTAAAATCTTTAAACAGGTTCTTTTGAATGACTTCNTCATATTCAAGGTCACAAGGAGCAAATATGTTCAAAATATTTAAACAACTTGTTCGGAATAACCAAAAGGCTTAGGATGTTGATATTAAGTCAGATCAAGGACTACTATGTTTGTTAAAGTGAATGACTCTGAATTATATTCAAGGTCACAGGGGTCAAATTTGTTTAAAATCTTTAAACGACCTCTTCTGAATAATCATGGGTCACATGGATGTTGATACTTTGCAAGTTGCATACTGAGATGAAAGGCTATACAATTTGTTCAACATAATGACTTGGTTGACTTTCAAAGTAACAGGGGTGAAATGTTTTAAAATCTTTAAACAGGTTCTTTTGAATGACTTCAATCATAAATACTGATATTTTGCCTGTCGCTTTATTTTAGATCACTTTTAAGGTTGCAAGTGTGAGATTTATACCAGGTGAGCGATGCAGGCCCATTGGGCCTCTTGTTTTATTTTGTACAGCTGATCATGAATGTCTTGTGATTTGTTGGCTGAAAAACATAATATCCAGATAATGTCAATCACAGGGGGATTCAGAGTGTGATAATTATGTTACTCCTTCTTTATGGCTTTATGAGTCATTATCAGTTTTATTGTAAATCCTCACTGCTCCCTCTCTCATCTCCCTCTCTCATCTCCCTCTCTCATCTCTCTGATAATTAGTATATGCTCCCTGAGTATGTACGATTGTTTAGATATGAATAGCTTACCGTATAGTATATATGCTTACAGGAAATTTATTTTTGAAGAAAATCGATATTTGTTACTACTAAAGTGTTTTTTTTATTGCAGCGATTCCTGTGAACATCACTGAGCTTGTTAACCTGGAGCACCTGAATCTCTTCAATAATCATGTTAAGGTTTGCATCGACATTTCAAATCAATTCGAAGGGTAAAAGATTTCTGTTGAAAATAGTGATGCTGTTCATTTGACTTAAGCTATCCTACTTTTAGTTAGTTTCAAACTTTTGTCATGAACAAAATGTTCTATGCACGAACATCACAGCAAATAAATGCTGTGATAATATGGCATGCATTCCATTCTCTCCCCAACACAGCTGTGTTATTATAATGCAGAATCTGATATCAAAGTAAGCCAGCTGCTGCTTCACTGAATTCTGTTTTGTGGGACCAGTTAATCTGAATATTGTGATTTGCATTAAAACTCCTATATGCATGGTTTTAAATCTTAGCAGCAACTAAAATTTAAAGGTCACATGTTCACTGAACCAGTGTGTTGTCGCCTTTGTTTTTGAATCCACAACCCTAATGAACACATCTTCTACCAAATTATTGCTGTTTGGACCACAGATGTTTGAGTGTTGGACTTGTGCTTTTCCTGTGGGATTCTTTTGACTTTTACAGAACCCAATCTATCTCTTAGTAATGAGACTTAAAAAAACAATATTTAAACTTTCATGAAAAATAACCTACAAAAGCCAGCGCTCATCACATATGCCTATGCATAAAGGTAAATGCCATGTTTTTTTCCTTACTACAAATTGTACTAAAACTAAAACGTTATGGCCCTTGATCATTAAATAATTACCATCCTACATAGGAGTGTATATTCTCCTCCTTTTTAAATTACTCTCATTTGATTTCATTGAGTTTTATGAAGTATCCCATCCTTGCTGCATTAAAACACTGAATACTCTTAGGCTTCAAATATCAATTGGAAACAGGAGGATCAAATCATTGCTGATGGTAACTGTTAGTGTATGCAATTAGTGAGCCTGGTGGTAACTGTTAGTGTATGTAAGTATAAGTGAGCCTGGTGGTAACTGTAAGTGTATGTGAGCATAAGTGAGCCTGGTGGTAACTGTTAGTGTATGTAAGTATAAGTGAGCCTGGTGGTAACTGTAAGTGTATGTAAGTATAAGTGAGCCTGGTGGTAACTGTTAGTGTATGCGAGTATAAGTGAGCCTGGTGGTAACTGTTAGTGTATGCGAGTATTAGTGAGCCTGGTGGTAACTGTTAGTGTATGCGAGTATAAGTGAGGCTGGTGGTTAATGTTGGTGTATGTGAGTATGAGTGAGTCTGGTGGTAACTGTTAGTGTATGCAAGTATAAGTGAGCCTGGTGGTAACTGTTAGTGTATGCGAGTATTATAAAGCGAGCCTGGAGGTAACTGTTAGTGTATGCCAGTATAAGTGAGCCTGGTGGTAACTGTTAGTGTATGCGAGTATTATAAAGTGAGCCTGGTGGTAACTGTTAGTGTATGCGAGAGTATTAGTGAGCCTGGTGGTAACTGTTAGTGTATGCAAGTATAAGTGAGCCTGGTGGTAACTGTTAGTGTATGCGAGTATAAGTGAGCCTGGTGGTAACTGTTAGTGTATGCGAGTATAAGTGAGCCTGGTGGTAACTGTTAGTGTATGCGAGTATAAGTGAGCCTGGTGGTAACTGTTAGTGTATTGCAGTATAAGTGAGCCTGGTGGTAACTGTTAGTGTATGCGAGTATAAGTGAGCCTGGTGGTAACTGTTAGTGTATTGCAGTATAAGTGAGCCTGGTCGTAACTGTTAGTGTATGCGTGTATAAGTGAGTCTAGTGGTAGCTGTAAGTGTATGCGAGTATAAGTGAGCCTGGTGGTTTGCTGTTTGTGTATGCGAGTATAAGTGAGCCTGGTGGTAACTGTTAGTGTATGCGAGTATAAGTGAGCCTGGTGGTAACTGTAAGTGTATGGGAGTATAAGTGAGCCTGGTGGTAACTGTAAGTGTATGCGAGTATGAGTGAGCCTGGTGGTAAGTGTAAGTGTATGGAGTATAAGTTAGCCTGGTGGTAACTGTTAGTGTATGGGAGTATAAGTGAGCCTGGTGGTAACTGTTAGTGTATGCGAGTATAAGTGAGCCTGGTGGTAAGTGTAAGTGTTTGCGAGTATAAGTGAGCCTGGTGGTAACTGTTAGTATATGCGAGTATAAGTGAGCCTGGTGGTAACTGTTNAGTGTATGCGAGTATAAGTGAGCCTGGTGGTAACTGTTAGTGTATGCGAGTATAAGTGAGCCTGGTGGTAACTGTTAGTGTATGCAAGTATAAGTGAGCCTGGTGGTAACTGTTAGTGTATGCGAATATAAGTGAGCCTGT